TCATCCATCTATCTATCTATCTATCTATCTATCTATCTATCTATCTATCTATCTATCTATCTATGTGGTGCTGAGGATCAAACCCAGGGCCTCACACATGCCAGGCAAGTGCTCTGACGCTGAGCCATAACCCGAGCCCCAAGCCCTTTTTATTAAGACAGGGTCTTGCTGAATTGCTTAGGGCCTCACTAAGTTGCTGAGGCTGGCTGCAAACCTGTACTCTTCCTATGTGGGCCTCCTGAGTCACTGGGATTACAGGTGTGTGCCACCATGCCCAATACAGGGTATGCACTCCAGCACCAACAACTTTTAAAAGTATCTATTTTATTTTATTTTCTGATGTGGCAAATATTGGTTGATACAACTCACATAACCTGAAGCTCTTAGAAGTCCTTCATGATTCTGAAGTTCCTGAGATAAAAAAGGGAGAGACTCCCTGGCCAAGGGTAGACGGGGCTGCCAGGCAGCAGGGCAGGATTTAGGGGAAACTCCAGAAACTGAGTTTCCACTCCTACATTCTTTTGTCTCCTCAGTCAGGCCAATTTCAAAATAGAAAACAGAACTACTGCCATCTGCTGTCACCAACATTTCAGAGGAAACAGCCAAAAGAGCAGGACCCACAATAACATCAATTATTATGTAGCATCGCCCCCACTTTACAGGGAGGCCACAGGCACACAGAAGCCACCAGCTGGGAAATGGCAGAGCTGGGATTCAAACCCCAGGCTCTGGGGCTGCCAACCCCCCCCCTTTTTAATATTTATTTTTTAGCTATAGCTGGACACAATACCTTTATTCCATTCATTTATTTTTATATAGTGCTGAGGATCGAACCCAGGTCCCCCCAGCACGTGCTAGGCGAGCGTTCTACTGCTGAGCCACAATCTCAGCCCTGGGGCTGCCCTCTTAACCAGGTACAGGCCACCAGGAGGTCCCATTCTAAAAATAAAGGCCAATCTACTTCTTCCTTCACTCAGTCTTCAAGATCCAGGGTGTATTCTACTCTTTCAGCACTACTAATTCAGATGTTAAATTTTCACTGGAGATACTAACTTTTTTTTTGGGGGGGGGCAGGAGGTGGGGGTGGTAACCAGGGATTGAACCCAGGAGCTCTTAACCACTGAGCCACATCGCTAACGTTTTTATTATTTATTTTTTATTATTATTTTTGGTACTAGGGATTGAATTCAGGGACGCTCACCACTGAGCCACATCCCCAGCCTTTTTTTGTATTTTATTTAGAGACAGGGTCTCACTGAGTTACTTAGCACCCCGCTTTTGCTGAGGCTGGCTTTGAACTCCTCCTGCCTCAGCCTCCTGAGCTGGGATTACAGGCCTGCGCCATCGTGCCTAGCTTTTAGTTTTTATTTAGAGACAGGGTCTTGCTAAGTTGCTTAGGGCCTTGCTAAGTTGCTGAGGCTGGCTTTGAACTTGTGATTCTCCTGCCTCATACTCTGAACTACTGGGATCACAGGTGTGTATCACTGCACCCAGTTTCAGTAAATGACCTACATTTAGATTTCATAAAATTGAATTGCAAACATTGATTCCCACACCCTGATTGTTCCATAATTAAAAGTTTTTCAATAATTGAACCAAATATTGGTGTTTAGATTCTGAAGTTTTTTTTTTGTTTGTTTTAAAATATTTTGTTTTAGTTGTAGTTGGACACAATACCTTTATTTTATTTTTATGTGGTGCTGAGGATTGAACCCAGAGCCCTGCACATGCTAGAGGAGCACTCTACCGCTGAGCCACAACCCCAGCCCCTAAAATTTAGCTCACTGGTCAAAGTAGCTACATATCAAAATGCTCCAGTCTCTTAGGACCTAGTGGCTTTTGTACTGGCCACCGTGAACAGCACGGTGCTAAGACAGAACTTCTTAACAATATGCCCACAATATACAAACATGGTACTAATTTCTTAACATCATGCTTGGCCAGCTGGTGTTTGAATTACCCTGATCATCTCCTAACTGTCTTTTCCTGAAAAGAATGTCTAACCAGTGGCTCTTTAATGGTGGGGTCAGAAGTCCTTCAAGAACCTAAAAAATACTATATACTTTCTCCCAAGAATGTTGTAGACCAAATAGGTGTTCTGGTGCACGCCTATAAATCCCAGCTACTCTGGAGGCTGGGGCAGGATGACAAATTTGAGGCCAGCCTGGGGAACTTAGCAAGAGTGTCTCAAAATAAAAAATACAAAGGGCTGGTGATGCTCTCAGTGGTAGAGCACCACTGAATTCAATCTTCCATGCCCAAAAAAGAAAGTTTATAAAGACAAAAGACAAGTCAGTTTTAAAATGGGCAAAGGGGGGGCTGGGCTTGTAACTCAGCAGGAGAACACTTGCCTAGCCTGTGTGAGGCACTGGGTTCCATCCTCAACACCACATAAAAATTAATAAAACATAGGTATCATATCCATCTACAACTAAAATATATTTAAAAACAATTTTTTAGTTGTTAATAGGCCTTTTATTTTTTTTTATTTATTTGTATGTGGTGCTGAGAATTGGACCCAGTGCCTCAAGCATGCTAGGCAAGCATGCTACTACTGAGCTGCAACCCTAGCTCCTAAAAAATATTAAAAGAAAAAATAAATAAAATGGACAAAGGATTAGAACAGACATTTCTCCAAAGAAGATCACAATGGCCAATAACACACATGAAAAGACTTTAATATCATTAGTCATTAAGCAATTACAATAAAAACTACACTGAGATACCAATTTACACCCCGTTAGGATGAGTACAGCATGACCAAAATGACAGATAGTAATAGGTGTTGGTGAGAATATGGAAATTGGAACCCTCACAAATCACCACGGGAATGAAAAGGGGTGCAGCCACTTTGCAAGTTCCTCAAACCCTTAAACAGTCAGTATTTACCCAGCAATTCCACTTCTAACAGAGGGGAAAATGTATGTCCACATAAAAACTTGCACAAAAAATTCTGACAGCATCATTATTCATAATAGCCCCAAAGAGGAAACTCTCTGTCAACTGATGGAGACAAGGTGGTCTATCCTTTACAGTGAAATATTATTCAACCATAAAAAGAATGAAGTACTACTATATGTTACAACACTGGAGAACCTTGAAACAGATGCCAGGTAAAAGAAACCCACAGAACACATATTGTATGCATTTAAGTGAAATATGCAGATTAGACAAATCCATAGAGATAGAATGGAGATTAGCAGCTGCCTAAGGCAGAGGTGGGGGTGGAGTGGAAGGAACTGGGAGAAAATGTGGAATGAGATTTCTTTTGGGGATGATGAAAATATTATAAAAGTGATAATGGTGACAGTTGCACAACTCTGAACATGCTAAAAACCACTGAACTGTGTACATGTTAAATGGGTGAACTGTGTTACATTAATGATATTCCACTAAAGCTGATTAAAAAAAAAAAAACAGATGGTTGGCTGGATTTGAGTTGGCCCTACAGACTGTAGTTAGCTGACGATTAGATGGTGGAACTAGTGAAATGAAACTCTAAAGAAGCAAAAAGAGCCAGGTGTGGGACTGGGGTTGTGGCTCAGCAGTAGAGCATGCTAGCCTCCCACATGAGGGGGCCCTGGGTTTGATCCTCAGCATCACATAAAAATAAACAAACGCAATAGAGGTATTGTGTCCAACTACAACTTAAAAAAAGAAAGAGCCAGGCGATGTGGTGCACCCCTGTAATCACAGCGACTGGGGAAGCTAGAGCAGAAGGATGGCAATTTGGAAGCCAGACTCAGCAACTTAGTAAGACCCTGTTTCAAAATGAAACGTGATGTAGTTCATCGGTAGAGCATCCCTGGGTTCAGTCCTCAGTACAAAATAATAATAAAAGTAATAAAATAAAATATAAAAAGAAAAAGAAATGAAACAAAAAAAAACCCCCAAATTCTGATGGTGAGATGACCCAACAGAATAACTGTTTCAGTTTCTTAAATGAACCCATTACACCAAGGGGGTAAAAAAACCAAAACGGTGGAGCGAAGAGGGGGCTGGCTGTTCTACATTTGAGAGATTTAAGCCTGACAAGGTGGCCCACACTGTAATCCCAGCTACTGGAAAGGCTGAGGCCGGAGAATCGCAAGTTCAAGGCCACTTTCCACAATTTAGGAGACCCTGTCTCAAAATAAACACTAAAAGGGCTAGGGGTGTGGCTCAGTGGTAGAGCACCGCAAAAACAAAATGAAAACAAAAAAAAAGGTCTGGGAGACTAGTTCGGCAGTAGAGCGCCCGTGGATTCAGTATTGAGGCGGGGGGATCTTGAACATTCTCATAACAAAATATTAATACCGATCCTTCAAGGTCCAAATTCACACCGAATCGACAGCACAGTTAGGATGCAAACCAAGGGCTGTCTGATCCCAAAGCTCCACAAAAGAAAAAGTTAACCCCTACACCAACCTCGAGAGGGAAGAGACTGTCACAGGGGTGCAGAGAAGGCAACCGCAGGTGGACTGCACAATCCACTACTGCCCGCTCGCCTTCCTCACCCTAGTGAGGCCTCCTTCCTCGACTCCCACTTCTCAGAGCCCCGGGAACCTCAGCTCCTCCTTCCACTGGGACCTCCGACCCATCGCCAACAACGGCCAAACTGCCCGAATGAGAGCTGGCTACTTCCAGAGGATGCTGGGAGATGTAGTTCAGCCTCCAGCTTGGATCGTCGGGAGAGCTCGAGTTATGACAGCGAATCGAGAATTCGAAATATTGCCCCTGCCTCCCTCAGAAACCCAGGGAGATAGTCCGAGAAGGACCGCAGCAACATTATCCCTCCAACTCCTAGAACTCACCTCACAAACGACGCCGAGTCGCCGAGTCGCTCCGACTGTGCCCCTACACCGGAAAGAAGTGCTGTTTTCTCACTCTGTTCCACCTACTTCCGCCCGGCCGCAGATACCGGAAGTAAAGGTGCCCCTAGTGGCGGGGGTGCCTCTACTGGCTGGGTAAGTCCTTTCTTTTTTCTCTTCCTCCCTCCGGAAACCTGAGAGACAACTCGAAGGTTCCGGTTAGTGAAACTGGCGCGACTATGGCGAACGCTTTATATATACTAGGCATTTCCTAGAGCGGACGATTTCCTATTTTAATTCCAATGCTTTTGAAACTCTCCAAGCCAGATTTCAAGGACTAACCACCTCTCCTTGAGATTGGGATGCCTACATCCCCAAATATAGTATTTATTTTTCATGCTACAGCTTAACAGGTAGAAAAGTGAGAACACCTCTGTTCCCATTTTATAGATATAGCAATAAAGAAATCGTAAGTCAAAGCCATTGAAGTCATTCTCAGAAAATAGTGATTTATTGCGGTATTGCCCGACTATACCAGGGACCAAGACATATCGTTTCTGTCAATTCTAGGTATCTGGAGAACCAAACATTTATTTCCCTAGCTCAGCCAGGCAGGTTCCCACCGGCTAGCAGACCCCTAAGGGGTCGGGAGTGGGGGATGGGGGGGTGGGAGGAGTCGATGCAAACCCAGTCCCCTACATGCCCAAGGGTATTGGGGAGGTCTCTAAGGAGCTCTGGCCCTTAGGCCCTTTGTCCTAAGGTCCCTTTAAATACTTTGTCCCTAACCTGAGTCCCGCCCAGGGCAGGTAATCGCAAGCCCCGCCTCTCTGCTAGAAACCGAGGCTGGTTACCGGGAACCAAGTACCCCTTCTCCCTCCCCCCTCCCCTCTCCCCTACCCCTTTTCATCTCTGGCTACAGCTGGCTGAAGAGATCCCGATTAAGGAGGAGGGGCAGTGCTCACAGGTCTGGGCAGGTAAGTGAATATTCCTAGAGGCAGAACCTGGTTTGAAGACCCTGGTTTTCTTGCTCTCCACCACTTTGAGGCCCAGAAGTTTGGGACCCCCAGACCCAGGAGTCCAGAGCCCCTGTTTTCTCATGCCCTCTAACTCCAAAATACAGAACCCTTCCACTCCTGTAGTCTTTGATCTCTGTGAGTGGATGTGGCAATGGGCAAAGGGAAGTGTAGGTGGAACTGATCACCACCGGACCTGTTTATGAGCACCTACTACGTGCCAAAACCAGTGTTGGGTGCTGCAGACACAGTGAAGGACAAGCACTCCTGTGCTTATCTCTAGAGGAACTCGGCCTTCCTCCAAACACTGGCTCTGACATTTGCAAACTGTATGACTATGGGTGTTATTTTACCTCTCTGGGCCTTGGTTTGCTCATCTATAAAATGGGATAATAATAGGACTGCTTTGAGAATTAAAATGAGTTGATATAGGTCCGCAGAATGTGGGCTAGCTAAGTGCCAGCTCTTACTTTCATGCATGACGAGTCCAGGAAGAGAAATCCTGCCTCATTCCCCAGGGACTGAGGCACCTGTCATCTATACTGTACTTTGTTCCAAGTGTCCACAAAATATGAAGGGCCACCCTTCTCTGCTGCTGCTCTGTATGGGATTGACAACCTGCCTGGATAACTCACCCAATGGAAAGCAAGACCAAAGTGAGTACTGGGGGAAGAAGCTGTGTGCAGAGGCCGGACCCAGGAACCCTGATGCTGGTCCACTCTTCCTTGCCCCAGAATGGAAAACCAGCCCGTCTTACCTCAAACCCAGGCGTCAAAGCCCCTTCCCAGCCCCTTCTCCCAGAAGACCTCATCTTATGTCTGCAGCTCTAGGGACTCTCTATTTTTCTTTTTCTTTCTTATTTCTCCCTTCCTTCTTCTCTGGGGCTCAAACTCCGTGCCTCACATGTGCACCGCCGCACCCTACCACTGGGCCCTATGCTCTTCTCCTGTCTTTAGGACCAGACTTCTTCTTGGGTTCCACAGAGGCCCAGAGTTTCCTGGGCAGCCACAGGCGGATTCCAAGAGCCAATCACTGGGACTTTGAGCTGTTCACACCGGCGAACCTGGAGCGGGAGTGTAATGAGGAAAAGTGTTCCTGGGAAGAGGCCAGGGAGTACTTTGAGGACAATACTCTGACGGTGAGGGCTGGGGGTGAAGGGGACTGGAGTTCGGGGCCCTCTGTCTTCTCCATGGTGGAGGTGGGAGGTCCTGGCCCTCAACTTCCTCCTCCTGTGGGTCTTAGCAAGGTGGACTCGTTTTGGGGTGTTGTGGATCCCCCACTTGATTTGCCGTCTTCCCTCCTTCTTCTCCACCCCTACCCCTCAAGGACCGCTTTTGGGAGAGTTACATCTACAATGGCAAAGGAGGTGAGTTCCGGCTGAAACCTTTTGTTCCAGGCAGCCCCTTCCCGTGGAAGCCAAAGTAATGGGAAATTAGGCAAAAGAATCAGCTGCCCTCACCCTTATTAAGGAGACCCCTCCCTTGACACTGTAGCCCCTGTCTGAGACTCACCACACATACCCTATTAGCTTCCAGGGGAGGCCCCATGTCTCCAGGAAAGGGAACATGCCATGGAGGGAAGAGCTTAGCCCTGGAGCTCATCAGAGGGGCAAGTGCACTGAGCCCCAGCCCCTTTGGGGTTTGCTGGTTACTAGGGGGGGGCTGCTCCTTAGCAACATGGGCAGAGCAGGAGGCTTGGCCATCCTTACCTGTCCAGTTTACCCACCCCCGGCCCCTTTTCTGAGTTCTGAGGCCCCATCTTGGCTGCAGCTGTTGCTAAGGGGGGCTGCTCCTTAGCAACGGGGCCTGGTCAGGCCAGACTGAGGAAGCCTGAAGCACTACCTGGCTGGCTTCCCCTCCCCCACAGCCCCAGCCCAGCTTCAGTGGCCTGGTTGCTAAGGCGGCCTTCTCCCTAGCAACTGCGCCTAGCTGGAGGACCCAAGGCTTCCTGCCCACTGGAGGATCCCCCTCTGGGTACCAGATGCCCCACCCCCTGGTGGCCTGGTTGCTAAGGTGAATGCACCTTAGCAACAGGCCCTAGGCCTGGGCTGGAGTCCTCACATTGGAGCCTGGTTGCTAGGGGAGGTAACTCCTTTGCTCCTGTACTGGGGAGGTCTAGTGGTTCCTTGAATCTACCTGAAACCTGCTTGAATTGGAAGGACCTGCCTTCTCAGTGCAGGGTTTTCTTAAGGAAGTCAAAAAGACCCAGTGATTTAGTTTGAAGGAAGCCCCTCCAGCCCCCACTGTCAATAAAACTGCCCCCAGAAGTAAGTGCCAGCAAAGCCTCACAAAAGAGGTCTCCCTGTGCTCCCTCAGATTAGCAACAGGTCCATGTGAGTTTTGGACACATAATTATTAAGAGGTGTTCCCTAAATTTCTCTATGAAGTGAACGCTTCCTAGCTGTCTGGTAAACTCGGAAACCTTCCTGTAGATTTTGTTCTTCCTTTAGAGTTGAGGCCTTACTTCTCGATGGCCTGGCTGGTAGAAGGGGTTGCATTTCCAGAGCAGGCAGAATTGCCAGATAAAATATAGGAACCCCACCTCCCCCCAACTCCCGTGCTTCCTGCAACAGTTAAATTTAAACTTAAGATATACAATGAATAGTTTTAAAAGTATAAGTGTATCCTAAATATTGCATTGGATATTCTTTTTTTTAAATTATTTTTTAGTTTTAGGTGGACACAATATCTTTATTTTATTTTTTTATGTGGTGCTGAGAATTGCACCCAGTGCCTCAGGTGCTACCACTTGAGCCACATCCCCAGCCCCTGGATATTCTTTTTTTTTTAATATTTATTTTTTAGTTGTAATTGGACACAATAACTTTATTTTATTCCTTTTTATGTAGTGCTGGGGATGGAACCAAGGGTCTTGAACGTGCTCTACCACTGAGCTACACCCCAGCCCATTGGGTAGTCTTATACTGAAACTTATCTGTTGTGTATCTGAATTTCACATTTAACTGGGTGTCCTATATTATTATTGGCTAAATCTGGCAATGCTCAGTGTAGGGGCCTCTTAAAGCCACCTGAGCTCTCTACCCTATCTTCAATGTGTCAACTGCTCACTGAACAGATGGATCATATAGGAGGTTGTGCCCTGACTCTTCGCGACCAGGACACCCCATATCCAAGCAGGGTCTATGTTGTCATAGGGATTTAACTCCCCTTTTTAAAATCCCAGATGAAGTTATGACAGGCTTTTATGCATTTGAGCTCACAGAGTGTTCACAACCTGTGAAGTAGGGGTGGGGCGATTTGGATATTGGAGTGGATGGCAGTCTCTGAAGCAGTGGCTCCCTCTATCCACAGGACATGGACGAGTGGACGTAGCAGGCCTGGCGGTGGGGCTGACCTCTGGCATCCTGATAATTGTCTTGGCTGGCCTGGGAGTCTTTTGGTATCTGCATTACCGACAGAGCCAGGGCAGGAGCCAAAGTCAGCAATCTTCTTCCCAAGAGTAAGGGGGCTTCAGGAGGGAAGGGCCAGAGGAAGAGAACAGGGGACAGAGAGAGAGATTTGACCTAAGGAGTTGGGGGCAGGATGGCACTGATAATAGAAACGTAGAGACAGGCACATGGAGAACGTGTCTGTCAGCTGGCTTGGGTCTAGTTCGGGCAGCTGTCAGGCTAGTAGTAGGAGTTCTGTCAACATTTGCTGCCTGCCTATCTTTGGGTACCAGGTTTCTGTGAGATTATCACTCCAATATTGTACGTGATGAGACTGTTTTTGTGCAGCTTGTGAGCCATGGTTGTCTATGGCATGTCAGTTTCCATGGTGACAGGGTGCAGCATGTGTTGTGTGTGCTGTAAGTTGTCTAGGTGTGTCTTTCTCACTAGCAGGGTCTCAGAGGATGTCTAAGTGTCCTAAGTTGTAGAAGTATACTGGGTTTTGGGGGGCGTTTAGGATGAGTTATCTGGGAAATTTGTGATCCAGTGTCTCTCTGGATCTGCTGAGTTCTGTTTCTGTGTGTGTCTACCTACCTACCTCTCTGCAGGCAGTTTCTCTATTACTCTGCCTGTATCTGGTGTATGTTTCAGTGTCTGAATGACAGCCTGCATCTGTGGTTTTGGATTTGTGTCTTCTTGTCCATGTACACCTGTTCAGGAGCTTTTCTGCATGTAGTGATAGGCTGAAGGTGATCCTCCTTTCCTCTGGTCAATCTTTCTTCCACCTCTGTCCCCCTGTGTTTCCTAGTCTGTTTCCTCTCTATCCTGTAGGTTCCTCCTGCTAACTACACCTTTTCTGTCCCCAGGGCCGGACTCCTCAGCCCTCTGAGCCCTCCAACGCCCCTACCTGCACCTCCACTCCTACCCCCAGGCCTCCCCACCTATGAGCAGGCGCTAGCAGCCTCTGGTGTGCACGACGCACCTCCACCCCCTTACTCAAGGTACTGGGAGGGCTTCTATCAAGGGGCGGGGCGATGAGGGGGAGGGCACTGTCGGAGGAGGGGCGTAGGTCTAGGGGCGGGACTTGGAATTTGGGGCTTATCACCGGGGGCAGGGCTTGGAGTGCGGGGGTGGGGCTGCATGCAATTGTCTGTAGGGGCGTGGCCCAGCGTTGTGAGACAGTAGCATTATAAGGGGGTGGGGCTTATGCCCAGAGGGTCAGGGATTGGCTGAGAAGCCAAGGGCGGATCGGTGTGGTCTCGGTTGCGGGGGTGTGGGGTGGGGACAGCCGGATCCTTGACTCTCCTCCATGCCCCTCCCCTTGTAGCCTCCGGAGGCCTCTCTGAAGATCTGCTACAGAGTCCGGGCTGCCCGAGTTGTGCCCCTGATTCACACCGGATTCCGGAAGTCCCCAGGCTTCTTAGATTCTAGAGTTGAGCTTGGGGGTTGGAGGGATTAGGGGTCGTTCGACCCAAGGCCTATCCCGTCACACGTGTTTCCGCCGCTTACGGATACACGCACGTCCCCGGCCGACGTGTTGCGGAGTCAAGGACCTTGCCCCTTGCGTGCCCCCAGGCTCTCCTGACTTGGGGCAGTCGACCAGTCCCGCCCTCGGTGTAGGCAAGCGCGCGTGGAAACTCAGACCCAGTCCGACAGGCCGGGTGTGTGGTCTTGCGTGTGTATCAACCTTCTCCCTCGGATGCCACAGGGCACGCACACGCGGAGAGCCCCGCCCGTGCACCCTCGAGTCTTAAGGTAGACTCGGTGCGCGCACAGGGATGCCTCGTAATCCAGAGAAAGGGTAGGGGGATATATTTGCAAGTGTGGTCGGCGGGGACAGGCTCGTGTTGTATGGGGAAACCGGACTTGAACTGTTCCCCTGGATAAAAACCCTTTGGAAAGGAAATTTTAAAAGGAT